ATTTGAGTGAAGTAATCACTTTTTCTGGGCTTAGAATAAATTGGGGATTTTAATAGAATATGTGTAGCTTATTTCAACTTCTCCCCCTATTTTTCCACTGGAAGGTCCAACAAAAGTAGCTTTTTTAATCAAAAGTGCCCATTTAACTCCACTGCTTTGATTAAAAGTATTGTACCCTTATTAGAACCCTTATTCAGGTGACCTCAAGTTGTTGCGTTGAATTTTGTTGTCCCCTTGCCTCTATTTTGATCATTTTGTTTATTTCAAGCCTGTAAGGAATTTAAGGATTGTTTTTAAATAAAAATTGTTCTGTTCTCAGTCATGTTAAAAAATCAGCAAAAATAATTTTTTTAAAATCTTCTGTCATGTGATTGAGAGGAAAACAATTGTTCAGTTAGTTAAATAAGTTCAGTTTAGCACAAATACATCTATTGTTATCCATTTATAGTCTGGGCCTAGAATGCTAGTTTGGGGATATGGGTGGATATTTGGGTACATCAGTACAACAATACATCATAGGGAACTTGTCCTGAGCTCTATTGAAGCATATTTGTAAGAAAATAAAAAAATTAAACATTAGAACATTTGGGGCAAAGCATGTTTTTTGGCATGAGGCTATGGTTGTGGTTGAGGCTATTTCAGGGTATGCTGGTGAACAGAGAACAAGAAATTTGAAGCAAAAAAGTTACAAATTCTATTTTTGGGAAATGATCTTATCCTGTAAAATAATTCTAAAAAGGATCTTATCATCTCCAAAACAACTTAACAAATTACAACTTTTTGTCCTTTGAAACAGATTTTAACTTTTTTCTCAAAGCCTTTTCTTTTTTCTGTTTCCTTGATGTTGACTTATAGTTCTCAATCAAATGTTTTGCATGGGCATGGGCTCTCAACTTCACATATATTTTGATGCTGTCTTTTAATATGACTTTCTGCATGTTTTCAGGTACATTTTTTGAACTGAATATTGATTTTGTTCTTATACTGTAGTTTCCATTTGCTTCCTGACTGAAGAATTGGGATACAATGGCTGCCACATTAATTTTTTTAACACCACCAGAAACGGAATCTTGAAATAACTTTTCTGCTCTGTGAAAAAGGTCAGCAAATGAAGCTTTCGGATAAACAAGCCCTCCACGGTCAAGAGTTTCTATCAGTTTTCCAGTGTAAACTCCAGTAGAGTGACTACTCTTGCAGCAATTTAAAGCTTCAATTCTCTTTTTGAGTGCCAATTCTGCATTTTCATTTATTCGTGGCTTCTGCAAATTGTCATAGGCCTTTTTAATTAACTTGGACAAAACTGCTCCACAGATATATGTGACAGTCTCTTTTTCTTGCTCCTTCAGTCGTGCTTCGGAGGCTACGAAAGAAACTTGAACTGAAGCATTAAAATTATATTTTGACACTTCTTCTTGGCAATATAACAACAGCCAGGAACAAAAGTATTTAGGTACATCGAGACATTCAATCAGCTTGTCAGTAACATTTGCGTTTATCCAAACCTTGCTGAAACGAGTCCACATCATCTCCATTGAAAAAGATTTCATGTCTACGGTCTGTGCAAGGACTTCATCAAGGAAAGATAGTTCTGGTATACTTTCAAAGTTGATTTTTGATAAACGTCCTATCACATTAGCAAACATCTCACACAACATTTCATTTTTCTGCATTACTTCAAGTGCATTCCTGAGCATCACGCGGACATCAACGTGAAATTTTGGCTTACTTGTTTCCCCGATACGCGCATCAGATTCGGTATTGCCCTTCTTCGCTTTTCTCCGCCGTTTTTTGATATCATTTTCCTCAATAAGCAGCTCAATCCTGTCTTCATTGCAAAATGCTATCGTTGTCACCTGTAGATGAAAGCGAATCAAAAATCAGTAATGAGTGAAGGTGTAGGCTTGGGCCTATTTCTAATGATAAGAGATCAAGTGAACGCAAGATTAAAATTCAACAAAATTCAAAAATAAAACAGACCCTTACCTCTGCCGAATCTTCAAGCATTTCTTCGTCTATATCAGGACCAAAATAATCAAATTCCATCTTTTCTACCACAATCAACTGCGACCTTCGCTTTTCTTCCAAAAAATACGCTGAACCGGAAATGAGGATACCCTACAACTTTTTCGATAACACTGTTGTGAAGATGAGAATAATCGCCTTTTGTTCTCAGCTCAGTGTCCTATCCAGTCTCCCTTCCACGATCTTTGATAATATACATTAAGGCAATATAAGAATTGTTTTTTGACAAGATTCTGTGAGTTTTAATTATTTTCAAGCTAAGAACCTGTGTAAATAGCTCAAATTCAAGGAAATTGGATGAAGTCTCTTCTGGGTTAGAGGGTTTTCGTCATAACTCTACCTTTAGAAGATGGAGCAGTGTTTACTTTATAGATGTGGGACGTTTACTGATTACAATTCATGTGGCATTATTTACCCAGAGTCCCACAATTATCGTCACATTATTGGTCACTATAACCTAAATACTAGGGAATAATTTATTTCTATATTTGACAAAGAATAAATAAAAAGGTGGCATTAGATATAGTTGATAATTATTTTGAAATTTCAATCTGTTCTCTTTTTTCTCAATAACTTTTTTCTTGTTAACATAATTATTGCTCTTTTTTATCTAAATAACAACCTGCTCTAAAAGTGTTGATAATTGTCAAACGAAAACTGTCACCCACCACCACACAGCCTCTGACAGCTTGAGTAGTGGTAGAAAGTCTCTGACCAAGACCAGGTTGCTCTGCCTGGCAGGCTGAACCTTTTTAGCAAAAATATAAATATAATAGAAGTTATGACTAAGAACTTATAAAAAGAGATGTTCAATAGTTTCATTCATTCGATTATTAGTTACATCATGCAGTACTGCTTTGAGTGTGTTTTTTCTACTTAGCTTGTTGAAGTCTCAATCACTTAGTCTCTTAAACTATTTTCACAAGCTCTTTGATTAGGTAAAGGAGCGCATTTCCTTTTTTGTTATCAGACAGACAACAACAGATTGAAAAACCTTCGTCAATCTTCAAGTGCCTTATTGATTCAACTGTTTAACTGCATACCTGACAAATGAAGAATGAGGCCTATGTTAAGGTTTCAGCAATTTAATTGTTTACGATAATGTGTTTTTTTCTGCAGATGGTCTTCATGAAAGCCTATTGGCTGATTTGGCGTGCCAGTTGCTTCAAGTTTCCTGCGTGCCAATAAAACTTGACGAAATACTAAGGGTAAAGAGCAATGGTGTACCTTCTTGGTGCGAACAACTCGTCAAGCAGCTGCAGATGACGAACGTTATTCAGGTAAAATACCTTTTTTCTAATTGGTGCTTATCCTATCATTTGGGGAATACTGCTAATTATATAGTATGACAGGTCATAGTTCAAAAATGACGAGATGATGACAAGTGACAACACATGACATGACATGACATGACATGACATGACATGACATGACATGACATGACATGACATGACATGACATGACATGACATGACATGACACGACACGACACGACATTACGTGACAGGCCACAACATAACATAACATAACATGACATGACATGACATAACATGACACGACATGATGTGTGATATTACAAAAAGCAACACAGCAAAACAGAAAGCACATCATATAGCATTTCTTTTGTTTGCTTTCCATTTTTAGACCGGGCCTAGCAGCCTGCTTAGCACAGCGGAGAGTGTAGAAGTAACCCCAGCTGATAAAGAATCTAGTATCAGTATTCCGAGCGTAGGAAGCCAGCCTGTCGAGCTGCCGGTTTCTTCTGCAAGGAGACGCTGGAGTGTGACAAAACACATCGTCACTGCCTTTAAACGACACAGTACTAGCTATTCTACAACGTCAGAGAATCACTCAACGGTGGATCCTGAGTCGAGAAGAAGCTCAGAGCACCTTCCTGGCTCAGAGGTGCGTAGATCCAGTGTGGATTTAGAAAGTGGGTCCGGCGATAAATTTCACCGTCCATTTCAAGAATTTTATCAACGCGGAAGGCGGCTCAGTTTGGAATCAGGAAAAAGCATTCGCTTGCATTTAGAGTTGGATGAGGGTTTATATCCATTAGAAGAAACAAATGACGAAATTGGGGGAAGAAGAAACTTGGCCTTCAAAGACTACGAGTCATGCTAGCTGGGGGCAAAAGCGACGAAGTTCTGTTGGTGTACCCATGATATCAAGTGTCTCTTCTAAGCACTCACGTAGCCACGTATACGCAACGCGCGGTGCCATTCCGGACGACTTAGACGAGGTTTGCATCATTGCACCTGGTATGCACATCAGTGACGCCGTAGTGCCTGATTCGGTCAATGATGTTGTCGTCGCGCGGTTAGACCGCATGTCTCCTAATGAGCAGCTAATTTTAAAATGCGCATCGGTGCTAGGAATGAGTTTCACGCGGGAAGTTCTAAATGCGATTGTCCCGCGGAAAATAGCCCCCGTTCTAGACACTACTTTGTATAAATTGAGCAAAGAGAGACTTCTCGAGTGTGGTTCTCTAGCTATAAGCCAATCACAACAGCACAGTCGAAAGGAAAGCAGGTTGAGTCGCACGTCAAGCTATCATCATCATAGGCATGATGTTAAGCCGAAAAGTCAAGTTCTATGCGGCTGTTACGCGGCGGATGGCTATCCCACAATCAATCTATCCCAAACAGTTCGTAAAGCAACTGGCAAAAAGAGGCTTTGTTTATTTTTTCATTTCTGCAACACATTTGAGCGAGAGGCGGCCTACGATTTGTGGTTAGAAGACCAGAGGAAGGCTCTGCATGAAAGAGCTGC